GCAGTAAATAAAAGGAGTTGTCGGTGAAGGTACTGCTACTCAAAACCAGACTTGAGCAAAATGCACGTTTTTGGTTGTGTTTGTTATGGTTACTCAGAAAATTCCAAAATTTAGACCCTAGAAGTAAACAAGGTATTTTCGTAGGGTATGATAAAAATAGTCCAGCATATCTACTATACTACACTGACATTAACAAGGTAGAGCGTGTAAGATGCGTTAAGTTCTTCAGGGAGGGGAGCAGGGAACTTCCAGAACTAGATGATGAAGAGCTTGCACCTCAGATAGCAAAATTGCATGAAAGAAAACCCAAAACAACTAACAAAGACATTAGTACTCCAGAGACATCTAGAGAATCAAGATACCACACTAGGATAAGAAGTAAGGCTAAATATCTTGACAAGTATGTGACAGAAAAAGTTTTACGGGAGGATACTGTCTCATATACCATAGACTATTGCTATAGAGTATCCAACATCCCAACGACCTATTCCCAAGCAATAACTCCAATGAAAAAGTAAAATGGCAAAAAGCCATGAATGATGAAATGAAAGCGTTAATTGACAATGATACGTTTGAACTTGTTCCACCCCAAACAAATAGAGACATAGTGGGGGGAAGATGGGTATACACCGTAAAAGTAGGTAACATGAAGAAGAGACCCATAAAGCCCGTTATGTAGCAAAATGATACTCGCAGACTCCCGGTATTGACTACAACGAAACCTTTTCGCCAACTGCACGGATGAGTTCTGTCCGTGTATTGCTTCAACACGCTGTTCAAAACAACATGTTATTGCATCAGATGGATGTAAAAACAGCTTATGTTAACGCCCCAATAGACTGCGAAATTTATATGCATCAACCCGAAGGATATGAGGAAGTAGATAAAAATGGTGAAAAATTAGTGTACAGGTTGAAAAAGTCTTTGTATGGATTAAAACAAAGTGGTAGGAATTGGAATGACGTATTGCATGAACACTTAATCGGGAAAACTTTCAAACAATCATTAGTCGACCCGTTTACACGCGACTTGAAAGAAAAGATGTTACTATTCTAATAGTATGGGTAGATGATATTATCATAGTTGCTAACAATAACACATTAATGCATAGTGTCAAGAAAATCTTAAGCGACCGTTTTAAGATGAAAGATTTAGAAATGTTGTCCTGGTTCTTAGGTACTGAATTCAAATGCTCAGTAGGGGAAATAACAATGAGTCAAAGGCAATATATTATTAAGTTAGTAACAAACTTTGGCATGTCGGAGTGTAAACCCAAACCCACTCCATCATCTTCCGATACAAATAAAATGTCGCATGATCAATTGCCTCAGTTAGAAGATCCAAGTCTTTAAAGACAAATTGTCGGTGGTCTTATATATGTTTTGACAGGAACTAGACCTGATCTGTGCTTTATTGTGAGAAAGCTGTCTCAAAAGATGGCAAAACCGACACAAGCAAACTTAATAGAGGCAAAACATGTTCTTAGATACTTAAGGGATACAATAGATCACACAATTAGATTTAGAAAATGTAAAAGTGTTTTAAAATTGGTTGGTTTTACTGATTCTGATTGGGCTGGCGATGCGGATGACAGGGGTAGTATTTCAGGTTACGGTTTCAGGTTGTGTGAGAACGGTGGTTTGGTTTATTGGAGGAGTAAGAAGCAATCTACAGTTGCTTTGTCAACTTGTGAAGCTGAGTATATGGCATTAACTGAAGCTATTCAGAAAGCAAAATTTTTGAAACAGTTGTGTGTTGATTTGCGTATTTGTAAGGAAGGCGAGTGTGTTTTGTTGAATGTTGACAATCAGGGCGCAATTAACTTAGCAAGGAACCCCAATGTACCACGAAAGCTCTAAACACATAGATATTAGATATCATTTTATCAGAAGTGAAATAAGGGTTGGTAAAACAGAATTTATGTATGTAGCAACACATGAAAATGTGGCTGATATATTTACGAAAGCTCTAACTAAGATTAAATTAAGTAGATTCAAAACATTTATAACTGGTAAATAGGTATTAATTTGTTAATTTAGTTGATGAGCAAGTGGTGGTGTTAAGTCATGCTCATAAACCACAAAAACATGTTAAGGAAATAGTATGTGCGTAGTTTGGTTTACCAATGTATCCGTTCCCACACGGCTAACAGCCAAGGAACATTTATTGACGTTAGTTAAATTTCCTTATGTACCATATATAGCTTAAATAGAGGAACTACTACGACAAATAATAATATTTGTTATTTGTAATAAAGAGTATAAATACTGCTCTGTAAAATAATAAAAATCAGTTTGATCATTAAGTTCACTCGTGGTTGTTACTGAAGGTATAGAGTATATTACGAAAAGAGATATGGCGAGTAACTCGAACTCAACAGGTTTACACCAACAAAATAGTACCACGTGTCTGTTTCTTAAAATTATATTGGGTGTGGCATAAGCTTATTGGAGAGGATGCAAAGGACCCCCAGAAGTCTTAGTGACCGTCGGGCATTTGAGCTTAACGCCATGGGGTCGTTTGCATAGGCAATTAATTAAAAGCTAAAAAGACGTCTACTGAATTAGGTTGCATGGAAGAGATGAAGCATGAGAGAAAACACTTAAGTAAAGGGCCTTAGATCACCTGCAATTTAAGTACTACACGAACGAGGAAAAATTCTTGATAAAAGCCATGTTAGATAAAATTAAAATTATTGCACATAATGATATGCATAACTGAAATTCTGTGACTTGTCGTAATTTTGATTCATTTTGTTCATTTTCTAGCCTTGCCGTACCAATGATATTTGAAAAGACTAGTGAAATTGTTGGTAATAATGCAAGAAAGGTCAGTATTTTGAAATCATAAATTAACCAATGTGTAAATTTGGAAAATTCCACCAAAATCAACAGATGTATCAATGTAACACATATCAAGTGTGAATTCCACCACGATATTGAAAATTCAGGTTTTTTATGACAAATATAACAAAATTCTAGACATAAGAACAAACAATGACACTATGATAGGTGAACTTTAAAATCAACTTACCTTAAAAAATTCAGAAAGATTAAAGATTACGCAACCATCTACATGATGTCTTTGCTTCTGCTTGATAATAAAGAAATTGGAATGTTCACTAAATTTTAAATTTCAATCACCTGCTGTTTTTATTGCAAAAATAATGAATTCTGTTAATAACAGCGACACGATAAAAATTTGCGATTGTTTAAAAAACCCCATGAAAGTCAAGAAATGTTAGTCTTTTAAAAAATGCCTTTCAACAAAGACAAAGAAAGAACACAAAAATAGTGATCTTACAAATCTGAAGCAACTAATTGTTTCATAGATATCTAACGCAAAATTTGCGAAATGTAAATATCTAGATAATAAACTTCATACTTTCTTTCGATGTGAATATTCCGGTCTTATAATGTATAAAATGTTGTACACGTTATGATAAAAGCCATGTTAGAAAAAGTAAAATTATTGCACATCATGACATGCATATCTAACATTCTTTGACGTGTCATTATTTTGACTAAACACGTTAATTTAATAACTTTGCTGTATTAATATAATTTGAAATAAACGATTGGAGTAAATTGGTATTGATGTGAGAAAAGTCGTATTTCCACGTGTAATGTATCCAAAATTTATCTGTGTTTGAAAATCCCACCAAAATGAAGAAAACTTATCCATATAAAACAAACGTGGCACTAATTTATAAGGTATATTTAACTACAATGCTCGTGACATCAAAACAAAACAATTGATACATGGACACAAAACATTAAATCAGAAGGTTAGAATACACCATTACATAAAGGCGAGTAAACTTTAAAATCAACATACCTGCACAAATTCTGAAAGATTAAAAACGACGCACCCAACTACATGATGTGTTTGCTTCTGCTTGATAATAAAGAAATCGGAATGTTAAATAAATGCTTGATTTTAATCACCTGCTGTTTTTATTGTAAAATATTGAATTCTGGTCATACCCAATTGAATATGAAATGCAAATTTCTTATTTTAGCTACGACTGAAGTAAACACAAAGAAGCTTTATGTCAATAAGCCTTTCACAGTTTACTATTATTTGTTTCAATTATTGAACATCCTGACTTACATGCAAACTAACTGAAATGATCATAAAGGAAGACGGGGCAGCAATATTTTACAAAAAAGAAAGCTCAAAAATTAAGCTCAAAGATTTAAAATTCAAGAAGTCAATAAAATCAATAAGCCGAGCTTTTCTAAAATTGTCAGCGTTCCAACTTTGAAACGTTGTCAATGAAGTTTTGTCATTTTGTAAACTTTTGATACGGATAAACGAATAATTTGATCAGAGGCGTGAGAAGCAAGTAAAAAGTGGGGTCTCAAGATTTTAGGGGCAATCTTTATTTAAAAATTGAATTTAAGAGTAATTAATCTCGAAGTCTCTAGATTTGATTAATTTTGTCACATCTCAGTAATCAGAGGTACTTCAAAGTTGATAGCGTTTGGACTTAACAGTTCATCATGCAAAGTTTAGTCATTTTGTGAACTTTTGACGCAAACAAATATTTTAAATAGTCTATCTTACAACAAATTTAAAAATTATAGACCAGAAAAAAATCACGTGTACTATCACGTGAAGGTGTGCGCTTTTCACTCCAAGTAGGCGCAATTTCTAAAGACATACCTAGCAAAACGTTTTTATGTCATCATTTGTGTTAGGAAAACGATAAATAGATAGATGACTATATAAATGATGAAGAAATTCTTCTTGATAAAAGTCATGTTAGATAAAATTAAAATTATTGTAAGTCATTTTCCTTGTTTTCTCCTCCTGTTGACAAAACTTACTATTATTAAATCTTTTTTACTCTCTTCTTTACATCACAATACAAAATCTTCCATTTTCGACCCAATAACGTTTCAATATTATCCACCCAAAATGATTTTATCTTTTAGACCATTTTATGGTTATCATGAGAATGAAGAAGAGTTTATTAAGATGGAGTTGTACAATCCAAGAATAATTCCCAAGTAAGATATATTTTTTATGTTGTTCTAACATAAAACGACAACAAAATTTTTCATTTTTTTCAGACTTGTTGATCTTCTTGAGAATGGAGCTATATTGAACAAGTCATTTCAACCACACGAAGCTCATGTTCCTTATATTCTACAGGTAATTATAGTTTTTTATTATTAATGAGGAAAAAACACATCTTTGATTGTTATAACCCAGACTGGAGTGCTTAGTTTGTAAACTGTTCACCAGACAGGGGGCAAGGCCTGCAAAGTTTGTTGTTTATTTCTTTAGAAATAAATCTAATTCATTGTTTTTCAAAGTAATTGATCAAAGCAATATTTGTATTGTACATAGGAGTAAAAATGGGCTGACATTTCTACCGACATCAGAGATTCAACATTTGCATGTATAGGTGCCCACTTTGCTATAATTATACATCAGATCTCAGGTGCCCAATAAAAACATTCCATTATGGATTATAGCTGTAAATTTCATGTGCAAAACATTTTGTCAATAAAGTGAATGGTTTGAACACATTGTGGAAGTATAGCTGCATGTTTGTTGATGTTGATCATAAAGGATACTACAGTATTGAGAAGGACTGTTGGGGGTAGTCTTGATTGATGTTTTCACATCTAGATGAGATGATTACTGGTAACAATGTTAAAATGTCATTCAACACTAATGCCACTGACCTTCTTTATTCTTTTCCTACCTGGATGGTCAACTTCTACAGATTTTCACTAAGTTACAATGTAAGAATTATATTTAAATATTGTTTATTTTAGTTTCTAATTGATTACAATCTTTATGGTATGAACTTACTTCATGTAAGAAAAGTTCATTTTAGAGGAATTTCTTCAAAAACAGGAAAGTTTCATTATTGATTACTTCAGCATTCTATAAAAATCTAACAACACAAATGGTTATTTACCATCAAATTGAATTTTATAGATAAAAATCTTTCATATAATAATAAATCAATTCCACTTCATGGTTCATCTCCCAATTAATTTCTCAATTTTCCTTCATCTCAACACAGGAATGAAGACACCATTCCTAGGTTTGTCTGATTTATATATTTTGTACTTAAAGATTAATTGAAACCCAAAGGATTTGTGTAAATCCTTAATCCTAAATTTGACACAAGTGCTTATGATTTATCCCAAGATTTAGAGTCAATGCTCAATCCAGATTAAAAAATTTACATTTAAAAAATTAGTTTAACTTTGGAATGATTCTTTATGATAACTATCTTTACAGTTGATATTCATCATTTTAATTTATGTTATTTGTCATTATTGAGAAATTTATGCCTGGATCCTACTGTGAAAAAAGTCAGTCGTTGTGAACTTGAAGTTGATGTAATTGCTGAAGACATCTTGAATCAAATAAATGTTGAAAGTAAAATTTACTTATCTTTATGTCTTCATTTTACTGTTTATACATCTTTAATGAGTTTATTATGTTTATGAAGGTTGTATTGGTCATAATCCTGGTATAACTGCTATGTGAGAAGATGAAAGACAACGAAGACGAGATATTGGACTATCTTCACAAGTTGCTCTTCCTGTTTCACAAGGTAAGGTACCAAAAAATACTGTCACATCGTATAACTCACAATACATTTCATGTATTTTATATTGTCATGGTATTTATGATTTATGAGGCTCTGACTTATATATCCCACAATGCAGCTGTTTTCTAGTGCATAAAATTTCATGTTTTCTTAAGTTTAAACATTGTCATCGTTACATGAAGATGTGTACAACTGCTCCTTTATTAATTTTCTTTTACTTAACAGTTAACAATACGTGTGTAAAAATTTAGCTTTTTGTCGTTGGATCGTGTTGAAACACCTGTATTGAGTCTTGAGAAAGAATTTAAACAAAGAATCAAAGAAATTATCAATAAACGAAACAAAGTGATGTAAGATTTAATCTTGTGATGTTTAATAATTTAACTTTATATTTTTATAAATTTCAAATAAACTTGCAGTCAAAGCAAGTTGGAGACAATGGAAAAATCTCTTTCACCTGAAGACTTTAAAGAATTTTCTCAAAGTACTTTGTCACAAGGCAAGCAACTGCAGTGTGAAGCAACAATAAACCAAGGTTTTGATGAGTTTTGTCAACTTATTTCAAGTTATAATCATACAATAAAATATTTCTATTTTTTCTATTTTAGGGGTGGATGTGGATAGTCCAGTTGTTGATCAGTCAGTTATAGATGTACTACAAGCCAGCCAGGCTAGCAATTCATGTATTATTCACCAAAAATAATTCTTTCTCTCTCCAGGGCTCAAATTTTTGTTGATCTAAAACATTTATTTATTTGTAGAGTTGGATAAAGAATAGGTGGAGATTTTAATGAGTTTGGATAAAGATGACAATGAAACACTGCTTCATGAATGTTCTCATATTGCAGGCTCACAAAGTAAGGATGAACACTCCATTAAATGAATATTGTATTGAGATCAAAACTACCATAATTAGACATAGATATCAATGGTGATTGTGTACAGTTCTATTTGTGTTTAGTAAAATTTGTCTTATATGAAGTTTTTCAATCAATCTTTTTTATTTTATTGTTTATTGAGAAGGTAGTGATGATGAACATGATGAAGATATCGATGAAGATAAAGAATCAATATTAATGTCACAGCCATTTTGGAAAGATGATGAAGAGGAACATGATTCCCCAAGGTAAAAGTATCCATTTTTCTTTATAAAATAAAGACAGAAAAATGCGTGCGTTGATTTGTCTATAGTTGAGTTAACATTAGCTAACTTGGCATGAACGAACCTATCTGAGCTCAATCAATTAAAATCAATCAAAGAGAATTTTCAAATCAATCATGAATACATGTTACAGGAAAAATCAAACCATTTGTTTTAAATTTGTCTCTTTTGTATTATCGTTGTTTTATAGATAAAGTAAATGATGTTTTTCGTGTTTACACAGGCTTATGCAAATCTTGGAGACGTTTGTGAGAACTTTGGAGCAGGTGCAAGCCTTTGACTCTGGTCATCACTGATCAAGTTCTCCCAAAGGTCTCCTTGCTTTTCATAATCCTGTGCAAACACTGTAAACATCTTAAATGAAAAACAATCTTCTCTAAAGTTTTGAGTAGCTGTCTTCTTCACTTGCAGTTCTGAGGATGAAGAGGAAATGTTTTGGAAACCACCTTTACGTATGCCTCCAGTGGATGGTCTTGGTGGTGACGAGGACTCCGGGGACATGTGTAGCAATCAATTTTCACTCCGCGAGAGAATCTCGAAACACTTAACACGCGTGTCTGCGTGTAATCTCGCGTGTCTGGATGTAAGATTTTACTTTAATTATTTGCTTCAGGCAACGTTCCGTGTTCAATGGTAACAACATACATAATCTTAATGCAATTTTATTTTAATTCCCACGCAGGCAGAAAGTTTTCTCTAACCCTAAATGTACAGCAGCCGTTCGACTAACATCATTTAGTAAAGATGGAAGGTAACATTTCAAAAATATTTCTCAAACTCGTCCATTTTAATAGTCGAATTATTATTTGCGATTTTTTATACACGTGAGTCCAATTTTGTTTTAATCAACAAGCGGAAAGTTAAAGAAAACATTTGTTTTCTTTGAACAACTTGACCGTCGTTTGAGCGATGTTCTTGAGTTCGCAAATGTGCGGAACTCATTAGCCAAGTCAAACGAACTAAACCCTAAACTAGCCGAGTAGCCGTGAGCAGTCATAGCCGAAATGGTAAAAAATGCGCGTTGTGCAGTTGGATATTGCGATAATGATAAACGCTATCCTGATTATCAAGTTAAGAGGTCTCACGTAGAAAAGTTAGTTTTTCATTAGTGGCCCAAAGATCAAGCACTTGATGAAATTTGGCGAAAACAAATTGCAAACAGCAGAGCCGATGACTTTAACCTAAAGCCCTTTCATTTGCACGAGGTACTTTCGTTTGCTCAAATCATTTTCCCTTGGGAAGAAGAACCCCAAATAACTGCGGAACGGATTATCCTTCGGTTTTTATTACGCTATCAGAGTACGAGCAATCGAGGACTCCGCTTAAACGTAAAGGAAGAGATACATGGACGACATCAAAGCGTCCTCATCAAGCCTATGACACCGAGGATTCTGATTCAAGTTTTGATGGAAATCCAGCAAAATCTGAGGCATCTTTACTCCCTGTCCCTTAGGAATTTGAACAGTTGACGAGAGAGTATAATGTAAGGTTTCACACAGGCCTGCCATCGACTAACAGTTTTAAGTGTGTATTTGAATACTTGGCTGTTTCTTCTTCTGGCTGTTTAGTCGCCATACGTAATAATAAAAATAGCAATGTCACTTTACAAATAATTGGAAATACTAATAAGAGTTTGCTGTAGAATAGTTCTTCGTGATACTTGCTGACTGCTGTAGACATGTGCGTGTGTTGCGAACTCAAGAACACCGCTCAGACGACGGTCAAGTTGTTCAAAGAAAACAAATGTTTTTTTTAACATTCCGCTTTTTGATTGCCACAAAATTGGACTCACGTGTATAAAATAATAATAATAATTCGACTATTAAAATGGACAAGTTTGAGAAATATATTTGAAAGAAATGGTCAATATGTATAAGGGTAATTTTTGCGCATTTATTAGTAATTTATATGGACGCCATGCGTGACCGCTCGCTCGACCCAATGTTTTTGCACCCTCTGCAATATGACTGCGATAACCTTGAAAAGGTCTATTGTCAATTTTCTTAGAGCAAAGTCCACTATGACTGGACGGTAAATAATTTGCACAGCGAATATTTAACTTTTGACAACCTTATCGGTCGTCATTTGACTTTGAATTTTCTGTTGAAGTAAAGCACACGAATTTAAACATGTTAACGTTTCTTTAATTGACGTCATAACTAAAGTTATTATTAGATTGTTCTTACATGTCACCTTTCAGGTAATCGTAAATGCGCATAAGTTCGTTTCAAACATTGTGATTTTACATGCCCATGCATGTAAAACAAAAGATAATGAGATAAAATTCCTTATTATCTTTTGTCTTACATACATTAGGCGCATGTAAAATGCGATGTTTGAACCAGGCCTTAAAAACGCATTGAAGGATTACTTGTTGTCTTTGTGAAAGGTGACATGCTCCTAAGGAGCCAATAACAATAATAATTTTAGTCATGACGTCAATTAAAGAAAGGTTAACATGTTTAAATTCGTGTGTTTTACTTCAACAGAAAATTACTCACTTTAACGTTGTAGGAAGAATGGTAAATTCTGTCTTTTTACTGACGAATTCTGAAGTATGAGTTACATGGAATAATGAATTGATCTTAGTGTAGGCCTCGTAATCTGAAAGCTTTCACTGTAAAATGCTTTCATCACGATTATAAGTCTTTGATCGTGTGAAACTTGTTACATCGTTCAAACTCAACTCACTAAAGCTATTCGTGCAATGAAGGTAAATGTTCTACCGTTTAAATAGTCAAACAGAAAACATATAACAATTTGCTCATTCTCAATATATCTGATTAAGAATTTATAACGCAAACTAACGTCATATGCAGAGTTATTAATCATGAAATTTCATACAAGTGTTTCATATTTTCTTATATTTTAGATCCCACAAGAATGGAGTTGTGAAAGTCCCTTTACCACCTGCGTCATTCACTTCAATTACTCTTACTAGTTTGTCATTACTCATGTGTCATGGTGATTCATGTCCAAGAATGTTCATTTGTAGTTTGGATTCTTTGTTGATGTCAGTTGTTTGTTCATATAATGATGATGGGCCCCATTGTTATATGAACCCACCTAAAGGGGTCAGCTGATACTCACAGAAGATCAACTCTGCACTAAGCATTCTTTGAGTAATGATAAAACTGGGGTATTGAATGGCGGTCCCTTTTCCTTCGCTTGAAGTTACCATAACAGTGCATTGTGAATTGTAGTCTATGGAAATGGCGATTCATAATATCAGTGGCTTCTTTATTGGTTGATGATGCTCCTTACTTCGTGTATGGAATGGTATCAACATGTTGAATGGACATCACATAACGGCATATGTACGTATGAACATTTACATTGAAGTGATCGCACTATATAAATGGACTACATTCTACGAAGATGGAAAACAAGCGAGTTGAAACAGGATCTATATCTTGTGGTTTGTAAGTTGAGTAGATATAAGTGTTAAAATTAACTTGTATGAGTAACTGCATGAGATAGTTAAAAAGGATCCTGATGGTCTATCTTTATAATTTGAAACTTAACCATGAAAAACACCCAACTTAAAAAAAGTGTCAATAAAAGATGTCACTTGCTGTGAGAAAATAGCTGGCTTTCACTCGCTACTTTTTAGTAATTTTATTTAACGTTTATTAAGAAAATTGCAATGATGCAAGTAGGGTTCATTGAATTACTAAGATAAAAATTTTACAATTAATTTCAACGATACAACGTAAAAACTACGCTGTTAAAAACAAGGAAGAGACCGACCAAGTTGCCTTCTTTAAAGTGACTAGGACAACCCTTGGAAATCAGGTATTAAAGTTTTCTTCTTTTCAATATAATTAATTTCTGTTTTTGATCATTCATTGTGCTGACATTTATAACGTGTTTTTTATAGAGTAGCTATGTCTGTAGGCCTTCTAACTGGACAATGAATAAACGACGAAGTCGGGCAGAAACACCAAGAAACAAACGTCGTTATTATAAGATGCACACTTGCTAATTTATTTATCCATAATGTCTATCAATATAACGCATTTTCAAATTCGACCGTTAAAAATTTTCCGTATAACTAAATGTTCACAATTGTTAAATTTTCTGACAAAACACACGAGTGAAAGCCAGCTATTAATTAATGAGGCAACATAGAAAATTTCAATGGAATAAAGTCTAGCTGACATCAACAGTTGTTTTTATGCAAGTCATAACGTCTCTTTAGTCATTTCATTTTTAATTGTTATGGGCAGGTGAATGGTCAGGTACCTACGTACTGAATAATTTTTATACATGATTTATATATGGCTGATATTAGTTTTCGTTTTTCGTCTATTGATTACAATTTTTGTTAACACTCTGCACTATTTCATTTTTTGTGCTCTAAAAAAGTTTGCGTTTCTTTTGTACGAACAAAAAATATTTGCTGTGTCAATAGGGTAGTCAGCCCACATTTTTATTGCTCCGTAAATTTAAATTTTTTATACGACTGTATAAGACGCACGATCTGACTACGCTGCATGTTAAAGTAGATCATCGGGATCATTGAAAACAACAAAAATATAAAACATCATAAAACACTACAAAAATTTGAGGCAATTCTTGTAAATTTTTTAGTTTTCTTTTTATTGGAGGGTTTTTTACCGGATCCGCCAGTTTTCCCTCCCATTTCGTTTTGATTTGGAAAAAAAACAGTGTCCACATTTGGGGCCAAGTGAAGACATTTGTCATAACATTATTTATCGTAGTTATCATGAATATTCACGTTTCTTTTCATTTCTTGGCTTTTGGGTACATCTCCCAAAACACTGCGTTTATTAAATACAATGTCATACATATAAAAAAATTGGCACGCAATTCATACATGTTGGTAGCCTGCAATTATTTAGCTACTGAGTGAAGTAGATTTAATCAACATAGTCAAAATAAAATTATATATGTAATATTATTTTACGTCAAACTTTTTCAAGATTTGAAAATGCCATTTAGTTTTATGATCAAGTAATTTTCTAACCCTGGAATCCAAAGTTCTACACAGTAAAAATAGATTGGTCAAAATGACCAAAAAAATGGCCATTTGAATGCACCTGAGAAGAATAATTTTTATAGGTCAAAACAACCAATTCCTAAATTGGTCAAAAATACCAAAAACAAAAATGGTTAAATTTACCAATTTATTTGACCAATTTTATTTGGTTGTTTTTACCATTAAATAAGCATTTTTTTCAGGTGCATATCCATGACCATTTGACCAATATAAAGGATCTTTTTAACTAAGCTAAAGAAAATCAATCGCACAATTATAAATAGCACATTTTTTGCAAACACAGAATACTTAAAATCTCTACTACATGCCATTAATTAACACTACAAAAGTTTTCTACTTCATAGAAGAAATAAAATGATCGACAAAAGTTGGCAATTGAGCCTTACAATTGCCAATTGAATTTAAAAGCAAATGTTCTAAAAGAATAAATACATTTTTGCAATGTCCAATAATGCCTTTAGGATACTCAGCATTAAAAGTATAAAAAGAACTAAGTAAAATAATAACTGCATTGACAATATTTTCCGTTTTCAGCTTTGCCACAATCATCCCCTCAGCCACCAACATTATTGAATGAATGTTTCTTAATGTTCCTGTTGATAAGAGTCCTAGAGACGAATTTTTGTTAATGATCTCTTGAACTTCCCCCAAGATTTTGCCCTTCAACAGAGATAAAATTATTTATCAATTTTTTCACATAATTATGTAGAAAATATTCTTTGTGACAATATCAACTCTTACATCAACAATGTCCCAAAATAGCTTTTTGTTCATATCTCGATGGGTGCATTGGTCATCTAACACATAAGGCAAACATGCCATTATACACCGGTTCTTGACCTCTAAAATAATCAACATAGCATAGAATGAATATATTACCATTATCACTCTCTAAAGCATTAACACTTCAGTATAAATAGGGATTTTAACTTATTGATTTTTACACCAACCTTTCTCATCTTCAACTGGACAATCCTCCAGCTCTTCAAGGATACTGCTGACATTCTTTTGCTTTGTCTTTTTAATAGCAGACAGCATTTTATATTTGTGCAAATTCCCATCGTTCCTTCATAAACTTCTTGTGAAGTTTTATTAGAGGAATCGTCTGATAAATATCATGTGGTTCTAAATTGAAAAATCCTCCGCGTCGACTTGATTAGCTTTAAAAATATAAGAAGCAAAACGTCAATGAAATTACGTTATTGCTGTTGGTATTCTCTAAAAGCGCTCGACCAAATCTGTATGCTAGTAAAACGTAAACAAGGCAAGTCATCTATAAATCTAATTTTGAATTATTTTCTACACTATATTTATGCACGAGACAACAACCCTCACACATGCGACCTCAGGGATGGCATTTATTCTTTAATCATTTTTTCTTTAATCTTCTTTAATGATTAAAGAAGATTTGAATCAAAACTTAAAATTGTCTTTAATGTTCCTTATTTATGCTCTTACGTTTAAAATAGTGTTTATCCAATGTCACATTAAAATAAATAACAGCATATTTTCTCCGTGGTTCACTTGTACATTCACTATGTAATATGTGGTTGTCTTGATGAGAATACAGAGCCTGGTGACTTGTTAAAGTCTCAAGATGGCGGCACAACAAAGTGAAAAAATTTATATTTCATATTTGCATTTTAGCACTATTGAATATTTAGCTGAGGAATAAATATTTCCTTCTTGACAATTTGTATGAAATTTTGTTAAAGTTTTAATGGTTTTCTCGAAAAGTTTTCTTTAATTGTCTTTAATTGTCTTTAATTGTCTTTAATTGAATTAAAGAATAAAGAAAAAAAATTTTTCAAAAAAACCTTCTTTAATCCATCCCTGTGCGACCTACATTTCAGGATGAGACAATACCTTTAAAATCTTCGACAATTTCATCCAATTTGTTGTTTTTCAAAAAAAGAATAATGTCAGCGACAGATGATTGTTTGTGATTTCCATTTTGCACACAATAGAAGAGTTTAAACACTTAAATGCACTTCAGCAAAGCACAAGAAGTTTAGAAACACCCCACGCGACTACATACATCGGCAAGTATATAGGAGTTATTGTTCCAGTTTATATTACAGTTCAATGGTGTCCCCACAGTACCCATGAGCCCACGCGGCCAACTCAATAGAAATCCTCACTTCTTGACTTCTTCACTCGTTATTGTGTTCTTATTTCGTTGGAACTGGCAGAGTTGGCGAATATTTTCATTTTATAGTCGAAATGACCGCGTTTTTACCGTCAAATCTTTTGGCATTATTTGCTGCTAGACCTCCCATACCATATCTTCCGCCTCTGGATAAACTAGGTCATCAGAAAAAGCCTTGGCCGTACAGTGGAATTGCGAGTATCGTTGCTGACTTCGAGGTATTAAATACGTCGATGATTTAATGTTGCAATACATTTTAACACCTCTGTGGGTGTTGTTGTTGTGTTTTGAACACTAGAGGAATGAAAAATCAGATATCTCGATTTTGTTCACATGTGTTGAAGTATAGTCCATAGGATGCAAACCGCCTTATTTGACTATAAAATATTGGGTAGTTATCGCGTATTCTATACCGAAACAAACAATTCAGTAGTTTTGGCAATCGACCTGATATACAAAGATTTTGAAAAACTTTGATGTTCACAGTTCAAGGGAAATATACGTATTAAAATTTTCCCTGCCTTGTTTGTTCTTGTGAAAACCACGTGATTGAAATGAAAAATATTTAGGTTTATCAACATAATTTTTCAATAAAGTTGCATGTGAAGCTTCTCAAGAATTTGATGTACTAGAAATTAAATATGATGCAATATATTTTTCTTATTCCAAAATTTTATATCACCAAGTTGACAGCAAGTACATATCTCATATGATTGGGTTTTCTGATTTTTTAAAGTCATATAATAGCTATTGTTTATTGTACCTCATTGTTTTAAATCAGTCATAAATCCAGATGATATAAGTAGACAGCTACATTAAGTTGAACTTAACAAGTTATTCTTATTCCCTATCTGTTTGAGTACACAGAATGTGAATTTTGATTTCATTTGTAAAGTAATTGAATGGAAAGGTCTAATTTAATCAATTGATGAACTTTCTTTTTCTATTGTGTTTAATTGGATTTGCTCGCTTTTTGATTTTAATAAGATTTTTTATACAAAGAAATGCTAACATATTAATGCTTTTAATTATACATATATTATTTTTCTAATGATTTTTGGGAATTTTGGTTTTTCATAATTTCGAGAATTCAAGTAGAACTTTTACTTTATTTAGAATAAAGTCAATAACATTTTGAAATTTCAAGGTTATATGCACACACATTTCTTGCATTGAAAACTGCCCAAGCTCAGCAATTCTAGTGCTTAGCTCAAGTGATAGATATATTTAGTTAAACCTTGTAGTTTTTTCTAATTTTCAAGTGTTGAATGAATGTGCAAAACTTTTGAGCAACATTAATCCCCAACTAAGAGACATTGATTTTCATATTCCTCAGCAACTGACATGTGATTGTGTGTATAAGGTACATTGCCAATGTGGTATCTATAAAAAACTGAATCACTTCAAAAAGTTTGCAGGTGCTATCAGTAAAATTGACTCTACTTATTTTTCATAGGATCCTGAAGATACACCTCCAACTCGTGCAGAAACTAGAGGTGTAAAAATAGAAAGAAAGGTATGTTTTTGGTTTCAGGGTGGTAAATTTTAAGTTGGTACATCAAACCAGTCAAGTGAAATAGGTGAAAATTTGTGAAATTGCTAAGTTCCATATTTCAAAATCAAAGCAAACATAGATTATCACTACCTACGTTCAAAAAACATTTTCATACAAAATCTGATAATATTATGCATTACTGCAAGACTAATAGAGCAAGCATTACTTTGGTGTATTCAGCAGCGAGGTCAGTAGTTTCTGTATGAATGTATGACCTGTCGGCAATCTTCAAAGCTCGAAAATATGTTTTCAATTGGCCAGTTATTGATTTTGACCAGTCTGCAGGCAGGCAACTTTAAGTGTGCTTTGACTGATCTGTAGGTTAGCTTGCAAACTTTCCTTTAATACAATTGGTCAACAAAGAGCAAAGAAAACCGTCATTGGTCAATTTCTATTGACTGGTCTGTCAGGTCAAAAGTTGAAAATAAACACATCGCACTCAATACAAATCATTGTTCCAACTCAAAGTCTGTATTATAAGGATATTTTAGTGCACTAAATGAAAAATGGTTGTAACAGCTTGAAAACCTTATTCGGATTTCAAAATATTCCTGCTTTTGGCCTATATGTTTGAGGCACACTATCCCTAAAGAGCTGAATTCTAAATTGAGAATGTTAAAGCGGGTGCTGAGCTGATCACATTGTTGAATAGGAAATTATAAAAATGTAAATTCATTTCACTGCAATTTTAGAGCTGAAGTTTATATCCCTCTGGATTAAAACAAAGATCAAATACACAGCTTTAATAGTACTCATTACATTTTAATTTGTCATGAAAGCACAACGTTTTCTTTATAAAGTTTACTTTTCTCTGTAATATGTCTCTGCTAGTAATTAGACCTATTTGCATTTTATTTCAAGTGCTTAAAAAGTCTTGAAGATGCAAAGTTTATCTTAAAAATACATTTTCATTTTGAGTTATTTAACAATATTATGACTTATGATTTTGAGATAGGGCAAAAGTTGTATTGAGCTTTGCTTACATTTCAGAAAAATTTGAACTTTAATTAGTATTAATATATTCATGTCAGTATCAAAATGGTATGAAGGGGGTAAGATAAAAGGCTGGATCCACCACTGTTCTCATCGTACAACTTTTTAAAGAAGTTCAAGAAACTTGTGAGAGGATCAGTTGTCATTTTATAACATAATATATATATATATCTAGTATACAATACATGATGGTGGTGGCTGATGGTAAAATATTTAACTAGAGCTGCAGCTTACATGTTGTATTTTTTGAAAATAGAAATGTGAAAGAATTGACAAAAACAAAGAGGATTTGGAGAAAGCTGCAGAAGAATGTAAGTTGATCCTAAATTGTTATAAATGTTCTAAATTGTTTTATTTTATGTTGCAGGCTGTTGGTGAAGAGTAGTGATTAAATAAATCTTATGTGATGTTTACTTTGCACTAGAACTTAGCACAGAACCTTTAACATTGACAAAATGAAGTGTGTTGTGAACATACCTGTATTTTTGTACCAATATAATTTAAAAAAAAGCCTAACTATATTGCCTTTAAGTCAACTAAAACAGGAATAAGCTGTATTAATACCAAAATTTGTCAGGCAATGCAACAAAATCATTTGCCACTGACTCTTAACACTCCACGAAAGGTGGACACAGTCACTAGTGTTTTAGTGGTTTGTACTCCACTAAGAGGGGACAAAACTCAACATCATAAAAACTGTGAAATTTACGCACTGTATGATATTTATTTTAATTATTTTAGGGGATCCTCACACTGATCCAAATGCTGTCACAGAGGCATTTAAAACTTTATTTATTGCCAGACTGGTAAGCAATATTTTTTAGGAATATGAGTTGAGCATTGCTTCGGGGCTGTTCATACGAGCCCAGCTAACTGGGATTCAGTGAGGCGTTAATTGATTTTGGCAAATGGAAACAATTCTATTCTTACATATCATTAGATAAATCTTCTAGAGCAATTTCACTATATTTTGATTTAATAAGTATGCAAAACATTTAAAAATGAAACAACCAGTTTGGCCCAATTTGAGAATTTCAACAGGAATGGCTTGTGGCACTTAGCAAACAGCTGTAATCTTTAAGCTTGAAGTTTTGCCCCCTTTCAATGCCTCAAAATCAATTAACGCCTCGATGAATCCCGTGTAGCCAGGCTCATATGAACAGCCCCTTAATTAGATGAGTACATTGTTAATTGTTTTAATTATTCGTTATATGAATACCGTATGTAACCAGGTTTTTTTAGTTATTTACACCCACCATTACATGTATGTATAGTTAAGGTTATTATCGAGAGCTCACTATAACGGTCGATCAACGGCAATGACCGCCCCAAAAAGCTTGTTGACCGGTTTGTTTACGTTACCGGTCATTTTGACCTACCTTATTTTTACGTCTTTCCAAGTACTCCAGTCGTGCGATGCATGGTAACAACTTTACAGCTTTAAACATCAACAGGAGAGTTTGTTTTCTCAAAAAATTATCTTTTCACCTTCTATGGTGCAAGTTGTGCCTAAAGTGAATGTTCGAACCAGGGAGTTATTTTACAAGGATATTTATAGACTGTTGGTATTCCGATAAATTTGGCGGCGTTCTTCTTCATAGCCAAACGTTGATTACTTCTAAAAGTTACTCCTTGCTTAACTCAGGAAATGACTACTCACAGCTTGTCGGAATGTTAGCCTATTCAGACACCAACAATCGTTTTAAGGACTTTGCCAACTTGAACTTTGTCCTTCTCGTCTACAAACATGTTTACATAATTGCGTAAAAGCACCTTCGTTAATACTTGTTTAATGTAAAAGAAGAGTTTTTCCCAAATAGACATGTTTAGATATCTCATTCATTTGCGGCTGTGGACGTTTCTGTCGTTGTTTTGAGACCTGGTATGTTTATGAATGTATCTGAAAGGTTTTATCTTTTTTAGAATTACGATACATCTGAAAGGAAAATACGGAGAGAGATGGAAGTTTATGGTCCTGTAAAATCGGTCAGTGTACTTAAAGTGCCTATATCGTGTTTTTGCATTTCTGCCATTTAAATAGTTCAGAGTACTTTAAAAATTTTTGTAATATATTTTATAGTTGGAAAATATGATTTTGCTGGATATTTTCGCACTCCAAGTTGAAAAATTGACCATTTTCATTATTTGACCGCCAGAATAGAAAAACTGGCAACTAATGTTATTTTTGACGTCACATCGGGAATTCATCTGATGTGTTTTGTTTAAAATTGGATGTATTTGAACATCCACGACACAAGATGTCATACACGTAGCAAATGCAACAATATAGCTATGCTTTTGAGGAAATTATGTGTAAAATACAGTGTTTTCTTAAAACGGGTTCCCGATATGACGTCAGATCTAGACATTCGCCCTAGTTTTTTTGATGTTAAGGTCAGGCAAATCATCACCGACTTTGAGCTCTAAAAAATGCACGAAGATGAAATTTTCGATTTATAAAATATGGTCAACTTGTTTTTAGGACATGACGTTTTATAAGGAAGTATTTTTCGCTTATTGAAAGCAATAAGTTGTCTTCAAAGATAAGAACTTTGAGTGATTTTTATGATTGTCTGTATCTTCTCCGCATGTAGATTCAAATGGTGACCAATTCTACAACAGGAACACCTCGTGGTTATTGTTTTGTCGAGTTTGAACATGAAAAGGACATGCATAGTAAGTTCTACCATTACAAGCTCTACCATTTGTTTTGTAATTAACAATTTTAGTTCTTTAATGAGCGCAAAGTTTCGAAATCGTTTATTTTTCTAAATGACCGTGTTGTGGTAAGTTGTCTGTAATGGTATGTCGTTGAACACAGCCTGGTTAGTACGATGTTGTTGTTGGAACAAAATCCCATTTTTTATCACGTTTTTAATAATTTTCTCACTGCATTGCCATCGATATCTACCACCATTTTTTTCCGGTGGTGTTTCCAACACTTTCAATTCCACTGCAATCAAAGTAATATGCTGCTATTATTAAATCATTTCAGTGCAAATACTGTCGATATTGCCAAGTGAATGGCAACAGACGATTGCTCGCTCCTATGCCATGGCTAACACTACTTGATCATTTAAAATGTTTCATTTTAACTGGTGCGTATTTTGGTGGGTATAGGTTCGTATTACATTCGAATGCTTTTAAAACAAAGAAAATATTGTTTACTCAAAAAGAGGCAAATAGTTTTGCACAAATTCAAATTTCTGATCACGAAAAATACGTTTTAATAGCTCTTGCAATGCTAACTGATAAATTTCAATTCCACTCACCAAAACTGCTGTTTTACAAACCTACAATGCCCTATTTTTGGCACTGCGTACAATGTGTTTAAAATGCACAAAGTGTAGCTTCACTTGACTTAAGTCCAAATCTAAGTAATGTTAAATCTCTCGTACTATAGCACTGTGTTGCGAAATAGAAAGTGATGTGATCAATTTCGATTAAATTTTGAAAGCTAAGCTTGTCTACTACAGTATAAGATTATGAAAAATTATACATTCGAATATACATAGGCGATTCTAGCTTTGACTTCAAAACTTCCTCCAAGTATTGAAATATCCCCTTGGAAAAGTCGTCCCCATTTTCACTCAATTCGAAGTGAATAATTGTTTTGAATGAATTAATGAAAAGTTTGGACAAGTTAATAAGAACTCTGAATCATGTTTGCGTAAGTATATGTGTTTTGTAAGTATGGAGTATTTGCCATTTTAAAGTTGAGGTATTCCCCTTGTCTTCAGAAGCAATTTTTATTTTACCTATATCGGAATAATTACGACGGTGTTTTCGATAGGCGGCTCTTACATATTCTCCGTTTACCTGTGATTCGAAATAGTGTGAAATGACTTACAGGTTATGATATAAGTCAAGTAACGGCGCCATTTTATACAAATTTTATAAGCTTTGGTTTTGATCCCAAACAAATTATATTTTATACCATAAAAGTCAAACATGTCAGCAACGATCCAGCGTTCTTCAAAATAAATTGAGCCCGGTCACGTGGCATTCAAGCAAAGCTACAGTCTCGAAAAAGTTAAATAAGAAAGAGTTAAATAAATATATGGGTCGTGTAACTATAAAACATTTCCAAATCGTGAACAAGTTTTATTTAAATAGTATTAAATATGCAATCTTATTTGAACTATATTCATTAAATCTACTTCATTTACTAGCCATGCACTTGATAGGCTACCCACATGTACGCATTTTGTACCTATTTTTACCGTCCAGCCTACGTGATGCAAACCTCGACTGAAATAAATCATACAAAGCTGTTTCTCGATGTTTGCTACCAATATTTTTCGCTACAGTAAGCAAATATGGGGTAAGGTTGATTGGTCGGTTTATCTTCAAGTGTTGTCGATTTCTGATCTCGGTGTATCCACCTGCCTACCTTATAAGCTATGTACTAGGCAGTTGTTTGGTTTTTTTGGTGTTTGTTTGAGTTAGTCCTTAGTTGTTTCGTACCATTGTAGCCGCTTATAAACATGCTGACGGTAAGAAGAATAACAGTGAAGAACTGGAAACGTCGACGTTTAGGTAAATAAGATGGTGATTTTTGAAAAAAATTTATTTATCAACGAGTGGAAGGAAACTGTCACTGCGAAAAAAATGCAAAATAATTGGGGTATCAATCTAAGTTTTAGGAAATAATCAATCAATGTCAATCCTAAATTTTAGGAAGGATTTCAAGCCATAAGTAGGAACGTGTATTTTTAGTATCCTAAATTTTTATCTGTCAGCCCTGGGATCATATAAGTTCGTGAGTTCTTTTTTATGGGCTAAAAAGGGAGGACTGCTGCTACACACTTGGTATATTTCATTTTCATATTTTTTGTACTATGAGTTACGTCTTTCTGACTTTCTATCAAGGTGGAGGGCAAGGTGGCACACGAAATGGTGCTCCTGAAGCAAACATAAAGCATTCTGGCCGCGTCGAAAATTTTGACAGGTATGATGAATGTTCGTTAGCTGTAAATGATTTGCCATAATCGTAATTCAGTTACTTGTTTTAGTGCTATTTTTATTGTGGTTTGAAAATTATTGTTCAGCAAAAGATTAATCCCATAGTTAACCATGATGTAACGTGATCAAGTGATCCGTTTTTCTCCGCATTAAGGCCCGTTCACACTATCCGATTAGACGGATCACAAAAAATGGATCGTGTGAGCACATACAAAGCGAGCTTTCGACAGTCGGATCCGTCAGTCTTAAAATTCGCCGATGTTACGGATGTTCTGTTTGTTTAAATTAATGTTCCAATTGTGTCGCAGAGAGTACTTAAAAATTTCTTTTGTTCATGCGGGGCGACAAATGTAATAACTGTCATTTAGATTTAAGATCTTAACTGTCGTTTAGACCTTAATTGCAAATTGCATCAATTTTGAAGAATATTACCAAACCTTTACAATATACGAACAAGGGGGAGTTTTGTTCTGAGCCAATCATAGGTTAGTTTACGTTTTAAAAATTAGCCAATCAGAACTCGCAAAACGCGAAAATGTAAACAAAAGGATTGAGAAATTTGCACTTTGTTTGAAGCCTTTGGGAGCTACGTTTTTGAGTAAATAAATATAAAAAGCAAAGATTCATATAAAGCAACACTTTTTCTTCAAATTCCTCTTGGGCATTTTAAAATTGCGATTTAGAACGGAATTTATCGGCTGTTTAATAGCCACCATTTTACACTCGCGAAGTAGCATTGATTATCTGCTTGGTTTACAAGGGGTTCACCAGTCAGAGCGTATGTGGGACTTTTATTCTGGCGCAATTAGATTGCTCCAACTTTCCATTGCTGTATGGATTTTGCAGTCTTTACTTCAGGCTGGTTTTTAAAGTTACTGGTCGGTTAATGAGGTTTTCTAAAGGAAAGAATTTTTTTAATCGTTAAAATTTTCACTTGACCCTTTTCAATGTTTGTACTATGCAATTATTATAAAAACCACGTGTTTCATTTCATTAAAATTTTAAGTAGACAAGTTTTGACATTTGCATTTCAACATGTGCAACTTGTACGGAACCTTAGGAAAACTAAAAACTAGCAGTCCCGAATATTTTAAATTCAAGTTATATTATTGTCAAATTTCCAGGTTTTGTCTGAGCAATCACAGTTTGTAGCATTTTTATTGGTGTTGAAAAACATTTGCACGAATGCTCGGGTTGGTATAAAGCGAAGTTCATTTTAATGACAATAAACATTTCATATGTCTCAAGACTTCACTTTTTACTCTGAAGCAATCTTCTGGAATTGAAAGACCCTGCCTACTCATGCCTGCATGTTGGATGAGACAGCGCCTAAAATTGACCTGAAAATGGATTTTACTATTTTTTTTAGGGATCGCGAGCGAGATGAACGTGATCGTGGTGGTGAATATCGTGACCGTTCAAGGCGTTAACGAGACCGTGGCCGTGATAGAGATCGCGATAGACATGATCGTCGCCGAGAAAGGGATTGTGATGGTCGGGATCGCGGGGGTCGGATGACGTCGAATCTTTATTTACCAACGTGCCTTTGAACAGAGCAATAAAAATAATTTTGGAAAGAAATTTTTGAGAAAATCAAATTTTAACTAAACTTGAGAAAAGAACTCTTAAAAAAGTTATTATTGACTGTTGCATTAAAAGCGCTTTTTCTTTCGACAATGAAATTTTTTAAACAAACCGATGGGGGTTTCAATGTACTCCTCCTTAGGCCCCATACTCCCTAATATAATTCTACAACACACTGAAACACACTGTGCAGTCGCTTTGGTCGCGGGACTAAAGCGAATTGATGCTCGCGTTAGTCGCTTGAACGTCAGAAACACACATGCAAAAACGAGCATGGCGATCATACAGTGAACTCCTTATATATATATATCTGGAATGATAACGACAATACATTTTATAGATAAAAAGTTGAAGCCAAAGTCCTAGTCTCTTGCGCGGTTTGTACGTCAGTTCCAGTCCTTCAAAGTCGAATATTCACGCGGTTTGTACGTCAGTATCATTCCCCTGAGTGCCAAACATACACGGCCAACATAAATTTTGAATACAAATTGCAAAAGCATAAACATATAAACAACATCACGACAAACAACACACGAGGCCAACTCTTCGTAAAAGGTTATTTTTTACGGTTGAGACTTTACTACAGTGAGCTCGTTGTAACTTGTAACGAGGAAAAGCCAACTGAAAATTGACTAAAAAGACAATACATTGCTAAAAAGACAATACAATAGAAAATATGACGAGAAAATATTCAAGCATAAATTTTTCTTTCGTCGGAAGGTAAATTTTCAAACGGTGTCTGACAGTGTTTGTCTTTTTTTGTCATTTCAGTGGGTTTAAAGATCTTTTTTTCCGAAGAAAAAAGAAATCTTGAATATCCAGTTTCATAAAAAATATTGAGTCTATAACTCGCATTTTTACTTTTTACAGAGCGATTGTATTTTTAGTCGACTTTGATAGTGCTTGAAATACTAAATGGTTGTCATCTCGATATCAAAAATTGAATATCCTTAAAGACTTTGAATGTCATTTTTTTGACTCTGAAGATGACTACTGCTAAGGTTGTCGAAAAGTCAGTCAACAACAACAAAAAACAGTCCTTCTCAGGACTATACCAACCTGGACGATCTACATTTACAAACATGTAACGATACTCCCGGGTTCAAACCATTTACCTTAAAGACTTTGATATGTTTTAAAGGAAAACCGCAGCGTAAGAGCTGATCGATCAAGTTCACCTCATCTTGCTTCTCTATTTATCACTTTGATTCACTTTCCGTGAACCTTTTCATTCCAAAAATTTCGTTATTTTTACGCTCTGATCAAGATCCGAACTCTGCCATTACCAAGGGACAAATTATTAAAAAAAATTAAAATGAACACGCGAGAGAATAGAGCCTGACGTGTGATGGCGAATGATGACGACAAATATTTTTTTGGCTTCAATTTTTGGCTTCGGTTATCATTCCAGTTATTCAAATGTCGAGTTCACTGCGACCAAATTGCGACTATCAACATGGCGTCTAGTCATCAGGCTAAGTTACTAGCATCTGTTTGCATATTGCACGTGCTGGAAGAGGTTGAAAACGGGAAAAATAATAAAATGAAAAGATGATCGGCTCGTCAATAAACAGGCAAAGGAGCGTACAAGGAGATTTTCTGCACTTGGTTCAAGAACTAAGAACCGATGAGGAGCAGTTTAATCTGTATTTTCGCATGAGCCCTCAAATATTTGATGAGCTGCTGGCTTTGGTTGGTCCATCTCTTCGTAGGCAAGATACTCAAATGAGGCAAGCAGTTGGACATGCTGAAAGACTAGCAATCACATTAAGAAGATTGGCTACAGGTGATAGCCCACAGTCTATAGCATTTGCTTATCGTCGTGGCGCTAGCACAGTTCGTGAGTTTGTCTACAATACGTGTAATGCACTTTGGAGAGTTCTGGTCCCCACATACATGAAGGCTCCTTCGCAACCAATTGACTGGAGGAAAATATCTGAAGGGTAAAGTTAAAACATGAGTTACTTTATTGTAGACTTATGGTGCCACTGCATCATTGTTTGTTGTATGTTTTCAGATTTGCTTATACATGGAATTTTCCAAACTGCATTAGATCACTAGATGGGAAACATATCGCTGTTCAGGCTCCGAGAAACTCTGGATCTTTGTATTTCAATTATAAAAAACACTTGATGTTTGTATCAGGTATAATGGTATCCAAGTGGCGAATACTTGAAACAACCATTATAGCAGAACGAGAAAATGTGTCCAAAATTGTCAAGGCTACTTGCATTTTGCGCAATTTCCTCCGAACACGCCATGTTTCCTACAGTCCAGCTGGTTTCACTGATATTATGGATCCATCAGGAAATGTTCATGAAGGGTCTTGGACGCAAGAAACAACCCGTATGCTTGAACCATTAGCTCACAACAAACAAAGAAACTACAGTAGTGAAGCATCCAAAATCAGAGACGACTTTGCAATGTATTTTAATTCAGAAGTTGGTCAACTTTCATGGCAGCAGGAATATGTGGAAAGAACTTATTGATATAGTTTTATTTTACTTTTTTGTTGTAACATAGAGTAAAGCACAATTATTTTTCATTCCATTCAATGTCAAAAAGAACATCCTGGATTCTTTTTATAGCCAGTGCTTTAAGGTAATCAGAAGGAAGCTTTCTGATTTGTAATGCATGCTTCTGCCAAAATGGTTGGGGAAGATGCTGATTGTTGAGTAATTTTTCCAAACTGCTCAGCAACCGCAGCTGGTATTTTGTAGGACCATCATCTTGAACTCTCTTTCTCTTTTTTGTGTGATCGTGGAGGTGATGCCGATGGTGTTGCTGCTCTAGATGATGAAGCTGAGGTGGATGAAATAGGTGATGGTAATGATATGGGCTGGAATGAGATTAAGTGCGAAGTCGGATCGACTGCTTCAGAAAACTGCCTGCTCTCCAGATTATCTACTGTGAGTGTCAATGCACCAATGCTGTTTCTTTCATCTGTAACTTCATTGACTGATTCATCTTCAATCACAGTGACAGACATGTTAGTTGATGTTCTATATAAAGAATTAACACTCTTGAAACCCACGATCATTATGCTACTTTACACATTCAGCCCTATACAGTAACACAATAATAAAAGGAGACATAAATGTTAATATGTATGCCTTACCGTTGACGCTTTCTGTAATCGTCCAACCATTGTCATCAAACCCCAAAACTCCCATGATGGTGTGAATGAGGCTGGAGCTCCTGATTTTATGGCAGCATCGTTTTTCTTTTTGTATCTGACGTATACATCTCTAAGGCTTTTCATTTTGGCCTTGAGCTCCTCAACTGATAAAATTGATAAAACAATATGCTCAATATGTCAAACAATCCTAATTTCAACAGACAACATTTCTTATCACGGTATCACTGAAAATATCAAAGATAAATAAATTGCTCCTTACCTGTTCCTGTAAAGCCAAGAGCTCTCAGATCGTCTAGAATTTGATGCCACGCATTCACTCTCATCGGCTCATTTTAAAATTTTGTCTGCAAGATCAAATAATACAGGAAAAGTTGCGAAAATAATTTATTAGCGCTTCTTCTTAACCAGCCATCTTTGTTCACGTAAACTTCATAAATTGACATTTTCAGCTAGGAAACAATCAATCACATGAAAGCGACTGAGACGACCAAGGTCAAAAGTTCAACATGCTAAACTTCCAAAGCTGCTAGACTCGCGACTAAAATTACTAACTTAGTGACCGCGTAATTTTGTAGTTTTAGTCGCGCGACTAAAGCGACTGCACAGTGTTTTTCGGCCTTAACTGAATTTAAAAAATCTATCATTTCCGATTTAATTGATTCCGGCACAATAAAATAGAAGATATGTAGATGACACTCTGTTACTTTCCAACATCCCGGCTTTATTAAAACTATTTTAACAAATTTTATAAAACGTCATATTCTCTGTTGATACGGAGGGTACAGTTCATTTTCTAGACATTAAAATATCAGTTGATGGCAGAAAATTATTTATAATTGTCTTAAAAAAAATTCGTAAAGGTCTTATTAAACTAGGTCAATTTATTATTATTTTTGACAACGAAAACGTCGCTTTTTTCTCTTATAACAAAGAAAACATCTGCTCCCTCACTCGTTTCGATCTCGTATATCAAATTAATTGCCCAGGCTGTAACAAATTCTACATTCGTATAATAAAAAGTAATGCCCAACATAAAGTTTTAATTAAAGCCATAGAAATAGACCAGAAGTTGTAAAATGGAATTATTGTGACGTTTCGTCTTTACTCAAGACATCTTCAGACAAGTAATAATTAGTAGGATGTTAAGACAAGATATTATATTTACAAAAGGTGTTAAATCACTACTAAAAGAGGCGGTGTCAAATGGATTACATGATAAGGAAGTTAAAGTGCTTATCTCACAAATTTTTTTCGAATTTTCTGATTGAGGTAAAAAAATCATTGTAAAAGTTATTTTACAATTTTCTGATTGATGGCTTCGTTTATGAGATAAATGCGTTTCTTTTCTCAAATTTGGCAATAAGGGAGAAAAATTGCTGCGCGTTCAATTTGTTTGATGAGAGCCTGAATCGAGAAGTATGTGACGTAACATAAGGACAGGAAGTTTTGTGAAGTGTGATTTTTGCTATAATTTCTACTTTATCTACTTCGGCTCTGCATCAAAATGCCCGATAGATGTGCAGTTTTCGGCTGTTCAAACCGAGCAAATTCTGCGGAAAGAATTTCTCTTCACCGTATGCCATTTTACGGTGATGAGCGTCCTGAAGCGAAGCGAAGACGTAAAATCTGGGTGAATTTTGTTGCAAGAAAACGCGCTCGATGGACACCGACTAAGTATTCGGCTGTTTGTTATTGTGATGGCAAAGAAATTTGGGCAAAGTTCAAATCTTTCCTGAGTCACATAGTAGACAAGCACACCAATTTGGATGATCCACTGTTTTCAAGTTGTTTTCATGGCCCCGATATTAAACCAAGGGAATATTTAAAGAAGGAAAAATGAAGGTTTATGAAGGCATTATTTAAAGATAACTTCCTAACAGTTTATCATCATTCTTTGTTGTAATGTTTAAGGTTCAGTTGCTCATGAAAAGCTTTGTGCTAAATTGTTAAACCCACAGCTGATGAAGTCAATTCACCAGGCTTCACCAGTTGCTCAAACAATTTGTTTGGAAGGATTCCTTTCTGTCCTGAATCATTTTGCTCCAAAATGATTTATTATTCCTATGTTGGAATGTATTGCAGGTGGGGCGAAAATTTCCAATATGACAATGTTAGTTGTTTTGCAACTTCCACAAGTCTTTATTGTTTTAGACACATTTTGGCATCCATCCACTTCAACAACAACTTAAGGCGTGATGTAAAGATGAAGAATGATGGCACTTTCCAAATAAATGTGGTGTATCCAAAGTTTAAAAATGGTGAAGAAACTGTGAGGGATGTCAGAGTTAAGCCCAAATTTGGTAAGTTGTTGCTAAATGTGTTGCTTTGCATCATTTCATAGTATTGAATACGACAATAATTTCTTTTTAGAGTATGTGGATGAATTATTTGAGAGTGTGATGATGTCAATAAAAGACAAAGACGCATTATCAAATTCACAAAATCTTTTGAAAGAAATGTCCCCACCACCAATGAATGTCATGCTGCAAAAGCAACCCAGATCTAAGGTATTAAAACAGGTCCGTCGAAAATGCATTGTGGTCAATGATGTCCCCCTCAATTCCAGCCAAAATGTTTGACATGCAAGAAGCCAATGAAAGGTTACAAACATGGGGCAGATTGCCCAAAAAATAGGAAAACTTAATTTTCACATCACTCATTTATTTCATTTTCTTCGTACCCTCTAAATTCCAACTTTTTATCATTAAATTTTGATCTTATTGCATGGTATGCACATGCTGGTAATGGTTTCTTTCTTCTCCTAAGCATCCATAAATCATAGATGTGAATTCTCTGTATGCAACACATCGTAAAAACCTGAATATAAAGCCAAATCATTACTAATGTGTCATAACACTAAAATATACTTAAATACTGGGAAATAACATTATATGCTATCATACATGTTTTCAGATCCTGTTTTTCTGTATCGTCTTTGTTCTCTGGTTTTGTATTTCTAGCATCCATTTTTAGCGACCACTTTTCCAAACAAACTGGTCTGAAACCTGGGTGTAGAGTGACACAACATGGAATAGTTCACAGATCTGCCAGAACCGACTGGTGTGTTAAGCTTTCAGCTACAGACTTAAGTTTTTGGCAGCACCAGGCCTCTAGAGGATTCTGAAGAAGTGTAACTTGACAAAAACCACACTTGCACCTGATCAATAAAGAAAATCCCATTAAAAAATTGTAATCAGGCATCTTTTAACAATTTTTACCCAAAAGTAAATAAAAAGCGATGTTAATCTTGAATAGAAAATTGCACGTTTATGTCTATATTTCATAACTTGAAACCTGAATTGAAATACATTTCATAAGTTGAATTGTAATTAGAAATTTTATTACTCACCAAGAACTCAACTCAACTGTGTGATCAAGTCTTTTTTGTAGCATTTCAAGTTGCTTTTTATGTTCATTTGACTTTTCCACGTAGTCTTCATACCATGCTTGTTCGGCCATTGGTTCATCAGCGTATAGATAGGACTCGGACTCGCCGTGATTTTCATCTATTATATTATATTCCTGGTCATTAATGTTCCTTGTTTCATCTTCGATGACATAACCGGGAATATAATCATACTCCGAATCACATTGCGAACTATGAGAGCTTACCGAATCAGAATTCAACTCCGCCATCTAATCGTTGATAACAAGCGCTTGACTTGTTCCTTAAGTTACGTCACAGAGACTTGATCCAGGCCCTATGCCAATTATCAACTTTTACTGTCAAATTTCATATTTGATCAATAATAATTCGAAAACAATGCAGCGCATGAAAAATTGTAATATAAGTTTTAGATTACTTTAGAAGAAGCAATACGAAAATTCGAAAAAAAATTGTGAGATAAGCACTTTAATGGTGCTGTTACACGATGCGATTTTATTAAGCAACTTGAGATTTTTTGCATTTTATCACAAGTTGTTTAATCATTGGTGTCGTGTATCACCTTCAAGCAACTTGCGATTTTGAAATTTTTCATTTTTTAGTCGTAAATTGCTTAAAAAAATCGCATCGTGTAACAGCTCCTTAATAGTACATCCAGTTGTTCGTTGCCATGACCATGAACTTGGAGAGTACGCATGCTCAGATTAATTCTCAATTAAATTTGTGACAGAGCGAGCTCTGAATTTGGTGCTTGTAAATGCGCTAAGCAAATTTTAAATCATATATTTTTGACATACTTTTTGTCCTCTTAAGCTTGTTTTAACAAATGCATATCAAACTCATCAGCACTTTGTTATGGCACTCGTAATATCCGCGACAACGTTAGGAAGATTTTCATTTTTCTCTATAATTTTGTATCTGCATATTGCATGTCATATCCAAGCTTTCCTTTGATTAGACGGAAAATAGTTTTTATTCACTCTTACACCTTTTGCCTTTATAGTTAGTCGTTCTGTTTTTTTTGAAATAAGATTTACAAATGCCCCAACAGCATCTCCTAACCATTTTATTACCACTATTCTACATAAACAGTACTGCTGTCCGAATTGATTGTCCAAATTTTGTAGTTTGATCTCTTCTTTTTTTGACTTGTGTGTTTACGGTCGGAAAGATGGATTGTATTCAAGACAAAATCGTCGGTAAAATGATATTAAGACAAGAGTAACAATAAAACTACAGGAGCTGTCAGTGTCGGCCAAAAAATACCAAAACAGTTGTATATTTTAGTTTTGTTCATGTGGAAGTTAACATGCATGACAGTATAAGTCTGACGATAAGTTTCATATTCTTACCAACACAGTTGTATATTTTAGTTTTGTTCATGTGGAAGTTAACATGCATGACAGTATAGGTCTGACGATAAGTTTCATATTCTTCACAAAACTTTTTAACAAATTGCTGAATCTGAAATTTATAATTATCTTAAAAAAATGTTTGATGTGAGATGAAAACAATCAAAACATGTAATGATGATGAAACAATGACGTAAGCTTTGTGAGCACGTGCTTAACACTTACTCTTATAAGAGGGTCAAAAGTGCGTCATTTATATTCGCTGAATTTCAAAATCTTGCAAGATCATCCATGAGTAAAATCATGGCAAAAGCTTAAAATAATGTTGTAAGATCTTGACAAGATCTTGCTAAAAATCTTGCTTGATCTTGCAGGAGTAAAATCTTGTCAAGAGCATGAAAAGATCTTATAAATAGCGTTTAAGGATTACATTTGGTGTTATTAGTGCAAGTGTTTTTGGCTATTTAGTTCTTCGAATATCTGCGTTCATTATATGCTGTGGTGAGAATTCAGTAGAAAGAAGGTTCGATGTGGAGGCTGTCGAAAAATGGCAAAATCGTGAATGGAATGAGACAAGAAGATGAAGAAAGTTACCAACAAAGTGAAAGTTGTGTTGAAAAAACAAATAAAGTAAAGTGGATTCAGAAGATTTTCTCTTTAAAGTTAAACAAATAAAACTTTGAGAAGGAAAGACAAGGATTGTATAAACATACCTTGATTCTAGTACAGGGGTCTCCAAACTTTATAGCTAGAGGGCCACATGAACTTTCATCCAGCATGTTGAGGGCCGAAGAATATAAAAAATTTACACGTTATCCTTCAGCTTTTTAAATTTTGCAGTGTGCTTGAAACGGAAGTAGGAAGTTGGGAGAAAAATTGACGTAAGCCACTCTTGCTAGTTGGCTTGCGACATAACGTGAACTTTCTGCACGAAATTTATTTTGTTTAATAATATTATTATTTTTGCTGAAGTGCCTCTGCGGGCCGGATTGAGAAGCCCAACGGGCCGCATCTGGCCCGCGGGCCGTAGTTTGGAGACCCCTGTTCTAGTAGATTGATTGTTCACTAAAATTTTTTTGTTGAAATACAAAATCTAGCTATTCCAACAGTAACAGGAAGTTTTATAAAGTACCTTTCCACGTACTAAACTGACCCTAGCCTATTTCGTAATCATAACCTGGCCTGAATGTAGTTGCCAGTCTTTGTAGCAGTGTATTCTATGATTGTGCTAATGTCAGCGCTGTTTAATCTAGTCCATGCAATATTTTTACTAAAGATTTATATCAGAATCATTTTTTGGTGTATTACTTTATAAGATCATTGTCTCCACATAAATATTCATGAAAATTCAAATTTAAAGTTGTGTTTTGACTCATGCAACGGTGTAGTATAAAATGATTGAAATCCATTTGTGGTCCATGATTATTCTCATCAGGTAAGATGACAATTTGTGCTCGAGAATGTCGCGGTGAAAATTGATTAAAATTATACTCATCTACTGATGTATATGATGGATTCTCATACACATCAGGCATATTGGATAAGTTTGTTGATCCATGACTATCCCAATATGATGTAGAATATCCATCATTCATCTCTTCATTATCATCGTTTTTTATTAAAAAACAAAAAATTCTGACACCATCTGTCACCTACACCAGCAGAAGAAATCCAGCAGCAAATGCAACGATAGTGATTGGCTTTTCATACCAAATAGTTTCATGTAAGCAATACAATTATTTTAAAGTAAATAGTTTAAACCCGGGAGTATCGTTACATGTTTGTAAATGTAGATTGTCCAGGTTTGTATAGTCCTGAGAAGGACTGTTTTTGTTGTTGTTGAATGACGTTTCGACAACCTTAGCGGTAGTCTTTTGACTCTGAATTTTCTGTCGATGTAAAACACACGAATTTAAACATGTTAACGTTTCTTTAATTGACGTCATAACTAAAATTATTATTGTGATTGGCTCAATAGGAGCATGTCACCTTTCACAAAGACAACAAGTAATCCTTCAATGCGTATTTAAGGTCTGTTTCAAACATTGCATTTTACCTGTGCCCAATGCATTTAAGACAAAAGATAATAAGGAATTTTATCTCATTATCTTTTGTCTTAAATACATTCGGACAATGTAAAATGCAATGTTTGAAACAGGCCTTAAAAACGCATTGAAGGATTACTTGTTGTCTGTGAAACGTGGCATGTTCCTTAGGAGCCAATCACAATAATAGTTTTAGTTATGACGTCAATTAAAGAAACTTCAACATGCCTAAATTCGTGTGTTTTACTTCTAAAGAAAGGTAAATTCTGTCTTTTTACTGACGAATACTGAAGTATGAGTTACATGGAATAACCAACTGGTCTTTGTGTAGGCCTCGTAATCTGAAAGCTTTCACTTTAAAATGCTTTCATCATGATTATAAGTCTTTGATCCTAAGAAACTTGTTACAGCGTTCAAACTCAACTCACTAAAGCTATTCATGCAATGAAGGTGAATGTTCTACCGTTTGAATTGTCAACAGTTTGTTCGATCTCAATATAACAGTTTAAGAATTTTAAAACTCAAACTAACGTCATATGCAGAGTTATTCATCATAAAATCTCATAAATGTGTTTCATATTTTCTTATATTATAGATCCCACAATGGTGGAGTTTTGAAAGTTCCTTTACCACCTGTGTCATTCACTTAATTACTCTTACTAGTTCGTCATTACTCATGTGTCATGGTGATTCATGGCCAAGAATTTCATTTGTAGTTTGGATTCTATGCTAATGTCAGCTGTTTGTTCATATAATGATGATGGGCCCCATTGTTGTATGAACCCACCTAAAGGTGGTCAACTGATACTCACAGAAGATCAACTCTGCACTAAGCATTCTTTGAGTAATTATAAAACTAGGGTATTGAAGGGCGGTCCCTTTTCCTTCGCTTGAAGTTACCACAACAGTGCATTGTGATTAGTTGTCTATCGAAATGGCGATTCATCATATCAGTAGTTTCTTTATTGGTTGATGATGCTCCTTAGTTCGTGTATGGAATGGTATCGATATATTGAATGAACATCGCATAACGGCATATGTACGTATGAACATTTACATTGAAGTGATTGCACTATAAAAAATGGACTACATTCTACGAAGATGAAAAACAAGCGAGTGGAAAAACACGATCTATATCTTGTGGTTTGTAAGTTGAGTAGATATAAGTGTTAAAATTAACTTGTATGAGTAACTGCATGAGATAGTTAAAAAGGATCCTGATGGTCTATCTTTATAATTTGAAACTTAATCATGAAAAACACCCAACTTAAAAAAGTGTCACTAAAATTTGTCACTTTATGAGAGAAAATAGCTGGCTTTCACTCGCCCTTTTTAGTAATTTTATTGAACGTTTATTAAGAAAATTGCAATGATGAAAGTAGGGTTCATTGAATTACTAAAATAAAAATTTTACGATTAATTTCAACGATACAACGTAAAAACTTCGTGGTGAAAAAAAAGGAAGAGACTGACCAAGTCGCCTGGATCAGACTGACCAGGACAACCCTTGGAAATCAGGTATTAAAGCTTTGTTCTTTTCAATATAATTAATTTCTGTTTTTGTTCCTTTATTGTGCTGACATTTATAACGTGTTTTTTATAGAGTAGCTATGTCTGTAGGCCTTCTAACTGGACAATGAATGAACGACGAAGTCAGGCAGAAACACCAAGAAACAAGCGTCGTTATTATAAGATGCACACTTGCTAATTTATTCATCCATAATGTCTATCAGTATAATGCATTTTCAAATTCGACCGTTAAAAATTTCCGCATAACTAAATGTTCACAATTGTTAAATTTCTGACAAAACACACGAGTGAAAGCCAGCTATTAATTAATGAGGCAACATAGAAAATTTCAATGGAATAAAGTCTAGCAGACATCAAAATTGTTTTTATGCAAGTCAAAACATCTCTTTAGTCATTTCATTTTCAATTGTTATGGGCAGGTGAATGGTCATGTCCCTACGTACTGAATAATTTTAATACATGATTTATATATGGCTGATATTAGTTTTCGTTTTTCGTCTATGGATTACATTTTTTTGTTAAAACTCTGCGCTATTTCATTTTTTGTGCTCTACAGAAGTTTGCGCCTCTTATGTGCGAACAAAAAATATTTGCTGTGTCAATAGGGTAGTCAGCCCATATTTTTATTGCTCCGTAAATTTAAATTTTTTATACGTCTGTATAAGACGCACGATCTGACTACGCTGCATGTTAAAGTAGATCATCGGGATAATTGAAAACAACAAAAATATAAAACATCATAAAACACTACAAAAATTTGAGGTAATTCTTCTAAATTTTTATTTTTTCTTTTATTGGAGGGTTTTTTACCGGATCCGTCGGTTTTCCCTCCCATTTCGTTTTGGTTTGGAAAAAAAAACAGTGTCCACATTTGGGCCAAGTGAAGCCATTTGTCATAACAATATTTATCGTAGTTATCATAAATATTCACATTTCTTTTCATTTCTTGGCTTTTGGGTACATCTCCCAAAACACTGGGTTTATTAAATACAATGGCATACATTTAAAAAAATTGGCACGTAATTCATACATGTTGGTAGCCTGCAATTATTTAGCTACTGAATGAAATAGATTTAATCAACATAGTCAAAATATAATTATATATTTAGTATTATTTTACGTCAAACTTTTTCAAGATTTGAAAATGCCATTTAGTTTTATGATCAAGTAATTTTCTAACCCTGGAATCCAATGTTCTATAACAGGGGTCTCCAAACTACGGCCCGCGGGCCAGATGCGGCCCGTTGGGCCTCTCAATCCGGCCCGCAGAGACACTTAAGAAAAATTATAATATTATTAAACAAAACAAACTTTGTGTAGAAAGTTCACGTTATGACGCAAGCCAACTAGCAAGAGTGGCTTACGTCAATTTTTGTCCCAACTTCCTACTGAGACAGAGTCTGTTGACATGCCATATTACACTGCAGTAAGATGGCTAAGTTGTGGAAAAGTGCTTTCAAGGGTTTTTGAGCTAAGGAAGGAGCTATTTTCTTAACTAATGAAGCTTGTGTTATGTACTTCGTTTTATTAAATATTCGCTCTTTGACCAGCGGTATACGGTTCGCCGGCCCTCAACATGCTGGATGAAAGTTCATGTGGTCCTATGGCTGTAAAGTTTGGAGACCCCTGTTCTATATTGTAAAAATAGATTGGTCAAAATGACCAAAAAAAAATTGGTCATTTGAATGCACCTATGAAGAACAATTTTTATAGGTCAAAACAACCAATTCCTAAATTGGTCAAAAATACCATAAAAAAATTGGTTAAATTTACCAATTTATTTGACCAATTTTATTTGGTTGTTTTTACCATTAAATAAGCATTTTTTTCAGGTGCATATCCATGACCATTTGAGCAATATAGAGGATCTTTTTAACTAAGCTAAAGAAAATCAATCACACAATTATAACTAGCACATTTTTTTGCAAACACAGAATACTTAAAATCTCTACTACATGCCATTAATTAACACTACAAAAGTTTTCTACTTCATAGAAGAAATAAAATGATCGACAAAAGTTGGCAATTGAGCCTTACAATTGCATTTTGAATTAAAAGCAAATGTTCTAAAAGAATAAATACATTTTTGCAATGTCCATTAACGTCTTTAGGATACTCAGCATTAAAAGTATAAAAAGAACTAAGTAAAATAATAACTGCATTGACAATATTTTTCGTTTTCAGCTTTGCCACAATCATCCCCTCAGCCACCAACATTAACATTATTGAATGAATGTTTCTTAATGTTCCTGTTGATAGGAGTCTAGGAGACGAACTTTTGCTAATGATCTCTTGAACTTCCCCCAAGCTTTTACCCTTCAACAGAGATAAAATTATTTATCAATTTTTTCACACATTTATGCAGAAAATATTATTTGTGACAATATCAACTCTTACATCAACAATATCCCAAAATAGCTTTTTGTTCATATCTCGATGGGTGCATTGGTCATCTAACACATAATGCAAACATGCCATTATACACCAGTTCTTGGCCTCTAAATTAATCAACATAGCATAGAATGAATATATTACCATTATGACTCTCTAAAGCATTAACACTTCAGTATAAATAGGGATTTTAACTTATTGATTTTTACACCAACCTTTATTTATAGGTAGACACTTTAAAACAACGTTTTTGGGAAGTGCTGAATGTGAGAAATCATATCTGACAATTTTTTTTTTGATCACTCATTAATTATGCTAATTATCAAAGATGGCGACTAATTAATTAGCATAAAATGAGCCTCTTTTCAGACACGATTGCATCAAAACTACTAATCAGAAACTTATATATAATACATATTTACGAAGCTTATATCAAGAGCTAGTGCATGACACTTTTTGATTTTGTTAAAAAGCTATTTCAAAAGAAATAAGTGAGGAAAACTAGGTATTCAGGAAAATTTCATTCTTTGTTAGAGGCATGAACCTTAATTTTTCATTATTATTAAACATTATCAAATTTTTAAAAGTGTCATGCATTAGATTCAGTTATTAGCTATTACCACAAAAAATTCGAGCTTTCTACAACAAATATTGAAAAGTAATCGTGTCACAAAAATTTCCTTCTAAGAGGAAATAAGGAAAAGGAGAAATTAGCATTTAAAGTTTGATAATGATCTTACTGAGACTAGAAGGCACCAGCTTCATAAGTTTTTCCTTCATTCTGTTCACAACTATCTACAAAGTTCTTTCTCGTATGCCTGAGTGTTTTTCTTCTTTTTTTACCTTCTCTGTGCTCTTCTTGGAAGATAATTTGATACGATCGGTATCACAATGCAATGCACCATTTGTAGTAAACAAGCCAGGTATTATGTCTAAGTCACTAAATAATTTGAGGAATAATATATCTCCTTCATTGAATTTAAGCACTGCCAAGTAGCTTGAAAGTGCTACAGTTTCCTGTTCCACATATGTGGACTTTGGGCATCTTTCCCATATTAGCCCGTTCAGACACTCATTCACATTCTGTGTCAAACCATGTGTACACTTTTCCAACAAGCTTTTGTCACTTAAACTTTCATAAATGGGTTCAATGAGCTCAACAATACTTTTGGTATACCATTCTTATGATGGTATGTTGTAGGGTCTTTCTTGTATCCGCACAAACTGTCTTCAGTGTCGGGGCAAAGTTCATGTTGAGGGTTATCATCGCTTGATGCCACATGATAAAGGAATGCCTTGATTGCTTTTGCCATTTTATCTATGTCATGCAGGTTCTCTCTCACTGCCAATCCATAGTAATTTTGCAGAAGGTCAATTTTTGCATCAGTCAATCTGCCCTTTCCACTCACACCTTTACCATCCGCCAGTTTCGCTCCTCTATGTGAACTCTTCAACCTCTGAAGGCGACTCCCCACTCTCTTTTGCACATGTCCAATGCATTCCAGTTTTTTTGGAATGCAATCTTTTCCATATGGTTCTCTTTCAACTATAGCACTATGTTGATGAGTCACCATCGCCCAACATATTCTTATATCTCAACCCTCTGGTAGCCATGGACGGCTCAAAAATTCTGATAGCTCCACAAGTCTCCATGCTATTAGAACTTCCTTTATGGTTTATTTTGCAGATGTGGGAAGCCTTCCATTCATCGTATCTCACATCATGCACTTTCTTTTGCCACTTTAAGCACTGCTGGCATTTGTCTGAAAGAAGTTCTATATCCAGACATTTCTTTGTGTCCAGTGATATAGCAGTGACAACATCATTATGGGAGGTATGCCCTCTCTTTTGCCATGTCCCATCTAGTGAGATGCCACATTCTCCATTCTCATTGTCAAGTCGTTCTTTTATTTTCATTGCACAAGACAACATACTGTCATTGGCCAACTGTTTCACAACAGGCAATAGTTTCTTATTTTGAATATTGGTGAAGTTTTGGCGACTTAGAGGAGCTGGCATGTTCATCACCTTGTTGAATGTAAGCATGGCGGAATGTCCATGACCAATTTCACGAAATACCAACACTGCTCTTACATTTATTTCATGGGAGTGACCTTGCTTCTTCGATGTATCAAAGCAATATTTCCACTCACATTCATCACTAAGACATTCAAGGATTATGTAATGGGAATAGCCATTTTTCTTCCTCATGTCAAGATGAGAGTGTATATTACCACCACACTCGGGACAATAAAGCATCATAAACACTTCAAAAAGCACAGACAAGTCAATGAAAATTGTACCTTTATTGACGTTTTTCATTGGAGGTGGACATTGTCAAATTTTCTTCGTACTGCTGCCGATTTTCATCCCGGAAGGGCCAGGATTTTCATCACAGTATCGGCCATGTTTGGCCATCTTCTTGATTTTTGATGCCGGAGTTCTAACCGCTTTTCTCTTTTTATTCCGTATATTTCCCATAATTTTTAAAAGTAAGAATTACAAAAAAATACGAAAAATCAAACAAAACAAATATTTCAGGCGTAACTAAGTAAAACAAAGACTATTCTGACGATTCCAAGAGAGCACTTTCGAACTGCACGAGGCGAGCAAAGCGGTATGATTAGAAGTCTTCAAGTCGTTGCTATGCCGACTAAATCCTACCAATTACAATGAATCTTTCCATAAGAGCTGTGAATAACAGACACCAAAAGTACAGCTCAAAAACAGGTCTTTTTTGCTTTTTTCGGGGGTGAAATATGGTTAAAAGCACGTTGCTATGGCGTTGCTAAGGTTGAAAATTTAGCACATGGTCTCTTTGGTGGCTTTTTTTTGAAATTTTGCATTATTATATCGCAAAATAGACCCTATGTTCATCAAGTACATTAATCAAAGTAACATAAACTGCAAAAAAAAATTTTTCAAAAAATTTGAAAAAAAACGTGTTTGAAAGGGAGATGACCACCACAACCTCTGAATAACTAGATATTGCAAACTAAACTCATTAATATACTTTGATAGTTCCATACAAGTTTATTAATAAAAACTGTTCCAGTAAATAAATGACAGTCGAAAACTTGAAAATACAAATGTTTGAATATTGTCAATAATATATTTATACCTTTTATAAATATACAACTGCTGCTATTTGAACTTTGTTGAAAGAAATCTACAATACAACTGTTTCTAATTAGCGTTAGTATAAAGAAGACATACCTAAAATGAAAAGAGAAATTGATTTTCTACTTCATTGAAAATGAGCTACAAATTCCTTTCCTCTTCTTCTATCTCCTTGTACGTTTTCTCAAAGACAGAAATATTTTAGCTTTTACCAAATAAAAGATAAATAGAAGTCCAAATGCTTCAGTTTCAATATCTATAGTTTGTTTATAACCAAATGAAGATTAAGATTGTTGTCTATTATTGCAGTACATGTTCAGGTCCAACTGTTTTCGTTTCAATTTCTATCGCTTTATACTGAAAAACAACTGTCTTTTGTCCTTTTTTTCTTCCTTTATCTCGTTAAACGTTTCTCAAATACGGAAGAATTTTAGCTGTTGGCAAATAAAAGATAAATATAGGTCAAATTCTTCACTTTCAAGTTCTATCGTTATAAACTTTATTGTGTTGGTTTTTTGTGTTTTTCCTATCACAGAAAATTACAACGTGATTACTTTCACGTAATATTAAAATGGTCAGGTCCAAATGCTTTTGTTTGAATTTTCTTCGCTCGTCCAAAAAAATATTTTGCTTTTTGGTACTCTCCCATTTTAATGTAAACCAAACTCAGATTGCTGTACGTTATCGAAATTTTAACATGGTCAGGTCCAAATGTTTTTGTTTGAATTCTCATCGCACGTAGATGAAAATCTATTGCTTGTTCGTACTCTCCCATATCACTGTAAACCAAACCCAGATTGTTGTACGTTGTCGCAATATTAACATGGTCAGGTCCAAATGCTTTTGTTTTAATTTCCATCGCTCGTTCAAAAAAATCTTTTGCTTTTTCGTACTCTCCCATATTACTGTAAACCGAACCCAGATTGCTGTACGTTGTCACAATATTAACATGGTCAGGTCCAAATGTTTTTGTTTCAATTTCTTTCGCTCGTTCATAAAAATCTTTTGCTTTTTCGTACTCTTCCATATCTTTGTAAACCGAACCCAGATTGTTGTACGTTTTCGCAATATTAATATGGTCAGGCAATGTTTTCGTGTCAATTTCTATCGCTCGTTCAAAAAAATCTTTTGCTTTTTCGTACTCTCCCATATGAGAGTAAACCGAACCCAGATTGTTGTACGTTGTCGTAATATTAACATGGTCAGGTCCAAATGTTTTTGTTTCAATTTTCATCGCTCGTTCATAAAAATCTTTTGCTTTTTCGTACTCTCCCATATGATAGTAAATCGAACCCAGATTGTTGTACGTTGTCGTAATATTAACATGGTCATGTCCAAATGTTTCTGTTTGAATTTTCATCGCTCGTTCACAAAAATCTTTTGCTTTTCGTAGTCTCCCATATTATAGTAAACAAAACCCAGGATGTTATAACTTATTGCAATATTAACATGGTCAGGTGCAAATGCTTTTGTTTTAATTTCTATCACTCGTTCATAAAAATCTTTTGCTTTTTCGTACTCTCCCATATTACTGTAAACCGAACCTAGACTGACGTACGTTGACGCCATATTAACATGGTCAGGTCCAAATGTTTTGTTTCAATTTCTTTCGCTCGTTCATAAAAATCTTTTGCTTTTTCGTACTCTCCCATATTTTTGTAAACCGAACCCAGATTGTTGTACGTTTTCGCAATATTAACATGGTCAGGCCAAATGTTTTCGTGTCAATTTCTATCGCTCGTTCAAAAAAATCTTTTGCTTTTTCGTACTCTCCCATATTTTTGTAAACCAAACCCAGATTGTTGTACGTTGTCGTAATATTAACGTGGTCAGGTCCAAATGTTTCTGTTTGAATTTTCATCGCTTGTTCATGAAAATCTTTTGCTTTTTCGTACTCTCCCATATTATAGTAAACAAAACCCAGATTGTTATACCTTATCGCAATATTAACATGGTAAGGTCCAAATGCTTTCGTTTCAATTTCTATCACTCGTTCATAAAAATCTTTTGCTTTTTCGTACTCTCCCATATCTTTGTAAACTGAACCGAGATTGTTGTACGTTTTTGCAATTTTAACATGGTCAGGCCCAAATGCTTTCGTTTCAATTTCTATCGCTCGTTCATAAAAATCTTTTGCTTTTTCGTACTCTCCCATATTTTTGTAAACCAAACCCAGATTGTTGTACGTTGTCGCAATATTAACATTGTCAGGTCCAAATGTTTCTGTTTGAATTTTCATTGCTCGTTCATGAAAATCTTTTGCTTTTTCGTACTCTCCCATATCATTGTAAACCAAACCCAGATCGTTGTACGTTGCCGCAATTTTAACATGGTCAGGTCCAAATGCTTTTGTTTTAATTTCCATCGCTCGTTCAAAAAAATCTTTTGCTTTTTCGTACTCTCCCATATTACTGTAAACCAAACCCAGATTGCTGTACGTTGTCACAATATTAACATGGTCAGGTCCAAATGTTTTTGTTTCAATTTTCATCGCTCGTTCATAAAAATCTTTTGCTTTTTCGTACTCTCCCATCATACTGTAAACCGAACCCAGATTGTTGTACGTTGACGCTATATTAACATGGTCATGTCCAAATGTTTTTGTTTCAAGTTTCATCGCTCGTTCATAAAAATCTTTTGCATTTTCGTACTCTCCCATTTTACTGTAAACCGAACCCATAGTGTTGTACGTTTTCGCAATAATAACATGGTCAGGTCCAAATGTTTTTGTTTTAATTTCTATCGCTCTTTCACAAAAACTTTGTGCTTTTTCGTACTCCCCCATATCATTGTAAACCGAACCGAGACTTCTGTACATTGGCGCAATATTAACATGGTCAGGTCCAAATGTTTTCATTTGCATTTTCATCGCTTGTTCATAAAAATCTTTTGCTTTCTCGAACTCTCCCATATTATTGTAAACTGAACCCAGATTGTTGTACAATGGCGCAATATCAACATGGTCAGGTCCAAATGCTTTTGTTTGAATTTCTATCGCTCGCTCATAAAAATCTTTTGCTTTTTCGTACTCTCCCATATCATCGTAAACTGAACCCAGATTGTTGTACGTTTGCCTAAAATTAACATGGTCTGGTCCAAATGCTTTTGTTTGAATTTCTTTCGCTCGTTCATAAAAATCTTTTGGTTTTTCGTACTCTCCTATATTATTGTAAACCGAACCCAGATTGTTGTACGTTGTCGCAATATTAACATGGTCAGGTCCAAATGCTTTTGTTAGAATTTCTATCGCTCGTTCATAAAAATCTTTTGCTTTTTCGTACTCTCCTATATTATTGTAAACCAAACCCAGATTGTTGTACGTTCTCGCAATATTAACATAGTCAGGTCCAAATGCTTTCGTTTGAATTTCTATCACTCGTTCATAACAATCTTTTGCTTTTTCGTACTCTCCCATATTATTGTAAACCGAACCCAAATTGTCGTACGTTGTCGCTGTATTAACATGGTCAGGTCCAAATGCTTTCGTTTGAATTTTCATCGCTCGTTCATTAAAATCTTTTGCTTTCGTACTCTCCCATATCTCTGCAAACAAAACCCAGATTGTTGTACGTTGTCGCAATATTAACATGGTCAGGTCCAAATGTTTTGTTTGAATTTTCATCGCTCGTTCATAAAATCTTTTGCTTTTTCGTACTCTCCCATATTATTGTAAACTGAACCTAGATTGTTGTACGTTGACGCAATATTAACATGGTCAGGTCCAAATGTTTTGTTCCAATTTCTTTCGTTCGTTCATAAAATCTTTTGCTTTTTCGTACTTTCCCATATCTTTGTAAACCGTACCCAGATTGTTGTACGTTTCGCAATATTAACATGGTCAGGCCCAAATGTTTTCGTGTCAATTTCTATCGCTCGTTCAAAAAAATCTTTTGCTTTTTCGTACTCTCCCATATGATAGTAAACCGAACCCAGATTGCTGTACGTTGTCGTAATATTAACATGGTCAGGTCCAAATGTTTCTGTTTGAATTTTCATCGCTTGTTCATGAAAATCTTTTGCTTTTTCGTACTCTCCCATCATACTGTAAACCGAACCCAGATTGTTATACCTTATCGCAATATTGACATGGTCAGGTCCAAATGCTTTCGTTTCAATTTCTATCGCTCGTTCATAAAAATCTTTTGCTTTTTCGTAATCTCCCATTTCACTGAAAACCAAACCCAGATTGTTGTACGTTGTCGCAATATCAACATGTTCAGGCCCAAATAATCTTGCTTGAATTCCCATTGCTCGCTGGAGAATATCTTTAGCATTTTCATATTCTCCATTCTTCCAAAGCAATACACCCAGCTTGTTGTACGAATATGAAACATCAATATGATCAACACCTAACACTTTAGTTTGAATTTCTGTTATTTCATAAAGTACTTTAGTTGCAAGTTTATAGTTGCAAAATCTTTCCAAAACATCTGCAAAATATTTGGCAAATTTCCAATTTATTTGATTAAGTTTTTTTTCTCTAATGAAAAAAAAGAATGATTTCACATCGATCAACTTATTTAGGAAATGTTGAAATGATGAATTTGTTATGAATTTAATTAGATGTGGCATTATTTTGATTTCATCTTGTCTGTCTTTAAAATGATTTAGTGCCCAAGCAACTAGACAGGCAAGATTAGCTGCAGACTTTTTAGAATTATTTTCGTTTTGTTTACAGCTAAAGGTCTGCGATGAATAATTTATGATGGCTTCGTGTACAACGCTGTGCAGGCGGATGTCGTTGCTTTCCGTTTGAAGAAATAAAGAACAATGCTTTAATTGAAGACAGACATCTTCTGCAGATATTTTTGGATCAATGCTTTTAATAAATGGTATTATAACATCTTGTGGTAAAGGATCGAAAGATATTATCGAGAAAAATTGAAAAACATGTTTCAACAAGATGGATTCTTCAGCATTTTTTTCTACTGCTAACTTAACAGTTTTCATTCCTAAGTAAGCTGAGTTTATTCTTTGAAAATTGCCATCCATGTTCTCTCGCTCTCCTTCATTCAACTTATCAAAATATTTCTCCCACGTGAATGTGGGATTTACGCTTTTTACTCTACCTACGTAGAAAGCAGCATTTGACAGGAACAACGGTTGACGATCTAATTTGTCTGATAAATCCTTTAAAAATTTTTCATCTTTATTATGAATATCAGAAAAGACAGATAGAAGTTCTCGACATTCTTCATTGTTCATACCATGACTAACTGAAATGTGTTTATTTAGGTTTCCATCTGGTGGTATAGCATCTGTATTTTGGACAGTTACTATAATTTGTCCATTTTTCCAATTATGATCACCAACTTGAGGTAATAATGGATAAATTTTATGAAGTTCAACCACGTTATCTACGACAATCCACCATGTTTGCCATGATTTCAGTTGTTGTGTCAGCAATAATTGAAAATCTTTAATTTTGTCTTCGCTGCTTTTTGCTTCTTTTGAGATATTTTCAATGACAGTTTTATTATTGTTTAATCGTTTAGAAAAGTCTACATAAGTTTTGAAAAGGGAGTCGCTATCTTTTCCTTCTAGTGTCATTACAAATGTTGTATTTTTTTTCCAGTCAACCGACATCAACATTTCTTCACAAACTTGTCTAGCCAATTCAGATTTACCACTACCAGGATTACCAGAAATATAGTAATATGTTAGTTCATTATTGTTAGTACTGCGCAAGTTGTTGAGATCTGCTGTGATTTGATTAAGTAACTCTGTACGTTTAACCACATCGTGATTTGCTTTGCAAGGAAGTACTTGAAAAGAATTAAATTTGTTTCGTTCACTTTTTATTTCATTAAGTTCAGTGAATGAAAATGCTAGATCTTTAAATGACTTTTCAATATCACTAAGCATTGTTTGAAATACGTCATTAGCAACGTTTCCTTTATTTTCATGGATGAAGTTGTTTCTGATAACACGAAGTTTATCCACAGCAGCCTTAGATTTTGGGTCAAGTTTTGTTCCAACTGAGTTGGAAAACAATATTGCTGCAAACAGTGTTGTACAATCCCACTTACTGGTGTCGCCATCTTGAAATTTTGACAGAATATGTTTGTCAGGAGGTTTCTTTTTTGTTTTTTCAATATTGAACAACTTCATACCACTGACGTTTGTATTTTCCCATTCTCCGAGAGATTCTTTGTAATGATGGTTCCATTCTTGGATAAAAAAATCAACAAGCTTCTTTTCAACATCTGTAAGTATTTCTTGCAGGTAGGAGTTATTAATTTTTTCTCTTGACTGCATCTAAGGGTCATAAAATTATTAATATCAAAATAAATTGGTTCTTTAATTAGAGTTTATAGACAACTAAAGTTGTTGAAGATCAAACATAGCTACGTAATGTTACAGTTTTATTTGTATGTAAATGAATATCGAGGATGGCAGCTGACAACAACACAATTAAACATTTTAGTTTTCCTGCATTTAGGCATTTGGCTACATTTTGGTAGTGGCGTCGCCAGGATTTTGTGAGTGGGGAGGAGGGTAGAAAATTTGTACCACGTCAGTCCGTTGTTAGTAAAATCGCCCTAAACATTGCTTCTACACTTGAAATTTTTGAAATATTTATCACAACATGAATAGTTTCAATTTTTT